CTTTACGCAGTCCTTGTTTCCCTTTTAGGAACAATGTTTCCTTTTGCATCAACAAACTCATCACTTCTTACTATTGCTTTTTTCAAAACATTCCTTTTCCATAAATCTTTGTTTACTTTTCGTTTTTTACCGACGTTATCCTCATTATACTGCATCACTTACTTTTAAAATATCAGTAATAAAACAATCAACAATATTAAGGTAACATTGCGAAATGCGCAACAATACAAAACACGTTTCTGAAACAAAATTATAAGTTATGGCAAGACATTGACTGAATAACCAATAAACTGGTGTAACAGACAGCTGAAAGAATACGCTGTGCAATAGTTGACAGACGGCAGTGTTGTTAACTCACGTGCTAGAAAAGCTTTAGTCACTGACTGAGGCCCTTCTAGCACATTCTTAATAATTTAGTGGCCAGTATCTATGCCACCAGTACATATGACTGAGATTCTGTTAGCACACAGCAATGGAACTATTTTTCAAGATGTGGTTTTCATCAATAACTTAATTTATGTATTTTTTTGACTGTAGTCATTTTTTCATATGCCAATTCAATTATAAAAACGAAAATAATTTTTTTTTCTAAACAAAAAAAAATTATTTTCTATATAAAAAAAATTATATAAAAAAATCTAGCAATTTAGATTCAGGGTATCGAAATCTTGCTATCCACAATTTCCTAAGTGATTTAAATGATTTTAGGACTTTTGACCATGTTTTTTTAGTTTACGCTGTGAGATATAGCGATTTGAAAAATTTTAGAATATTGGTTTGCCTGTGTTTTCGAATCGTTGTTTTTATTAAAAAAAAAAAAAAAAATGCAGTAATATTTTTAAAATTACCATATAGTACCATATAATTAAGTTTAACGATCATAATTTATGATCATGTAAAATTAGTCGTAACACTAAAAGGTTGTCAAATGAAATTTATAATCTGTTATATATTTTAAAGATTTATATTTTATTAACTCGTTGCTCTCACATTGAGGATAGGAAAGTAGATTTTGTTCCCACAATCCAATCGCCGCGGTTCTTATGTCAAAACATCAGTAAGATAAAAAAACTTATTAAAACGGTTGATAGATTTAAAAACAAAGAGTTTAATAAGAAAACTTTTTACAATAAACATCGACTCCTTTATATACATTTCTTGAATAAACTAAACAATTAACATTACTTAAAAATAAAAATACATTACATAAAAAAAAATAATAATAAAAAGCCATAAACAAAAAGATAAAAGTTTTTTATTGTGTAACATAATTATGCGATAAACTATAAAGTAATCTCAACTAATCTCAACTAATCATTTAAAAAGACATGATCTAGTTTAATCTATTGATGTGAAAAATAGTAAATTTTTAATAAAATCAAGGAGGTTTAGTTTGCATCTATTTATAACAAATAAGTAACTTGAATTGTTATTCAATGATATAGAAGAAAAGAGGTACAATATCAAATTAAAACAACAACAAATTTTTGCAAAAACAAATTAAAAAAGTAATAACTAAGTTATATATATTTTCCAATATATTATATCGTTAAAAGAAAGCTTATTGATTAAGTATGCTCTAGTTACTACTGGATTGTGGTCGCGTATGATTGAACATAGTTTATCTGCCACGAAAGGCTTGAATTAAAATAATCTGTGAAATTATTTCTTATCACTATTGCAATAAAAACAGACCGATTACTTTTTGATTTCGAGAAATTAAGCAAACGTCTTTGATCTTCTAATTCTTTTTTCCAATCTTCTTGAATAACAATTCCTGACTTGCTTTAAGTATCTACAAAATCACTAGGAATATGTGTTCCATCTTAAGCAGTGGGTGGGTAGAACGGTAGTGGTATAGCGCTCGTTCCACAAGCGAGAAGTTATGAGTTCAATACCCACCACGTCTCTAGTAGTACCGCGCTAAACTTGTTTCCCCGCGCAGTAGCCTTGTTCGTCAATGTTCGTGTTTTGGAGTTATAGAGTTAATTATAATTATTCATCTCGCGAAGGCTAAGGAGGTCATTACAATCCTTGATTGTAATGGCCTCCTTAGCCTTCGCGAGATGAATAATTAAAAGAATATATATACATGTATGTTAGACGGAAATAGTTGTGAAGACAAACTGTAGCCTTTATTATATTTTCCACTTTCGAGATCTGAAAATTCTCCTACTGGCAGACAGAATTCCAAAGCTATTTTCAATTGTTCTACGATATCTAGATAAGTGATAATTTTAAATTCTTGGTTGGACTGTAAGCCTTTTACCTGGCTATGGTTTCATTAACCATGGCTTAAGTGCAATTGCATCATCTCCAACAACGACTTGTGGAAATTCAGGTTTAAATTAAAAAACTTCTGTTAAATTATAATTACCTTTATTAAAAGCTCTATTAAAAGTGCTTACATTTAAAATAGAAGGATTATTATCCCTTCCATAGCCTCCCATGTCAACCATTATAAAATAATATTTAGGATCACAGATGGCTAGAATCATACTGTAATTATACTGTAAAATCCTTAATAATTAAGAAAAGAAGAAGCAGTTTTTACTGGAGCAATGCGTACGTGCTTTCCATTAATAACCTCTATTCATTATGGAAAGTTGCAATTCTGATCAAATTCTTAATAATATTTTGTCACTCTTGTATGTCGTTAGGGGCTCTTAGAAATATTTTTTTAAGAACATCCCATATAGCACAACAGGTTTCTTCAATTATATTACATACTGTAGCTCTGCCGACACGAAAATAAAACGATTGAATTTGTTATGATTCTCCTGTAACTAGGTGTCGAAGTGTAATTTTTAATCGCTGCGATGGGCATATAGACTCTCTACTGGGACAGTTTTTTTTTGTTATTAAAGGTCCGATTAATGACAAAAGGTGTTTAAATCTGTCAGAAGACATTCTTAAGTATTAATAAAAAAATTCTCTACCAAATAGCATCATTTCTTGCGCCAACGAACTAAACGCATCTTGCTGGACGCGTTTTTAAATAGTCCTCTGACCCAAAACTGATGTTTTCTTTTTTTTTGAGTTTTTTTGGCGCATTAAAATTAAAAGTCTATAATCTAGAATAACACTTTTTTTAATGACCGCCATGATTTTCATTTTATGGTTTTCATTTTTAATTAAATGTAATGAAAACATCACTTTGCACAACAAATTAACGCACAACAAGTTAAACAAAAGTTGCACGATTGTTGTTTGACATTTCTACAGCTATTGGAAACCAAGCTTAAGTAATATGAAGAAATGTTGACCGAAAGAATGTGGCATCCATTCATACTTTTTAGTTAAAATTTATGAAGAGACATGCACCAAAATAATGTCTGAAATAGGCAATATTTTAACTAAGTTCAATTTAAAATTAAAAATCAATGGAAAATATTTATTTAAAAAAAGAAAAAAAGTTTTTTTTCTTTTTTTTACTGAGTATTTTTTTTCGAAAAAATAAAAAAAACTTCTTCTTTAAAAAGGTCTTTTAAAAAACGTAGCAGGAAGTCATTTGTTCTTCCTCCTCCCCTCTCCGTTTTTTTTTAAAAGGTCAATAAATAATTCTTAAGAAAAAATCACGAAAAAAAGTATTTTTACTTTGCATTTTCTGATGTTTTTTATACTTTACAAATAAAATTATTTGCTTTATTATAGCTTTTATTCAAATCATTATTAACTTATACATTTATATTAAATTTTTTATTAAACTGATAAATATCGCTGTCCTCATCTGATGTGTTATCATTTCTTCACAAATTTTACAAATGTTAAATTCTTCCAGTTTTAAAAGATCAGTAACTTTTTATGAAAGAATATGTTTTACTTTTAGATCTTATACCTAAAGTGAAATTTAAAGTTATATATAATATTAACTTAATATAATGTGCAGCCGTGGCGCATTGGTTAGAGTTATGTCTAAGATCTAATAGGTCTGAGGTTAGACGCCGGCTCTAGCCCAATAAAAGACATTGTTTTGATGGAGACGTGAACTTCCTAGTTAGATGCACTTCCGCGGTGTTCTGTGATAAGACCGTAACGACTTCTGGGAGGACTTTAAAAACCAAAAAAAAATTAAAAAATAAAAACTGAATCGGATGAATTCATCATGCATCAAAAATATTGCCTTTCTTTGAGACCTTGCGAGTATGATACGGTCAATATCTTTAAATAATTTTATTGTAATAATTTTGCGCTCCTTCACCAAAACATCTTATTTGAATTGGAAAAGTAATTTCTCCTCCCTGTGCTTACATTTAACAAGCTGTGGCAAAAAATTTTGAATATGCATCATTACTTGTCAAATCAGCGCAAATATAAAAAAATGGCACCCAATGATTTATATTTCCGTGATTTTTATAGATGTTATAAGGTTTACAAAAACTTGGAAAATCTGAAAGTTGGAACTTCCAACTCCTTACGGTTTTCGAGATATCCTGTTTTTAATTATCTTATTTATGCTGATTTAAAATGTTTTGCAAAATGCTTTTTTTTCGTTAAATAACAATATTTAATAAACAGAATGAAGTATCGACCTAAAATATAGAACATAGACAATTTTTTACACGAAGAATTTAAATATTATTTTAATTTACGACCATATTCTCTAACTAATTATCAGTTATTTGATGCATCAAAAATTAATTTAATAAAATTATTTTTATTGTCATTGAAAAAGTAGATTTAGTTAGCTACAAACTATTTATAAACTATTACTCATTTGGTAAATAATTTTGAATACAGATATCTATGGATATCTGTATTCAAAATATATACACAGATATATACACATCATAAGTGAATAAGGATTTTATTATATGTAGCTTAACCTTTTATTCTACTTTGTTTCATTTAAACTAAAATGATTTTTTGATTTTCGGTAACACTCCGTCCCAATGTGTGGCCATTGACATTTTTGATAAAAGAAAAATATTAAATAATTCTAGATTAAAGTAGATTGTATTTTTTTTTCTCGTATAATTATGAAATAAAATCAATATTAGTGATTGCAATCTATATAAATCAACTTTTCTATAACACAAATAATTATATAAGAAAATTCTGTTAAAGTCTTGTTTTAAATAAACAAAAAAATTCAAAAACACAATATTCGAATTATACCACTTAATGAAATAGTTCTATCTTTACGCTTTCAAAAGCTTTGCAGTTTACTTTTTATTTATCAACACTACAAAAAACAAACAACATAATGTGATATTTTTAAATATAAAGATTGTAATATTTAGTTTTTTCGAATTCAAATTTTGGCGCTTTTGAATATTATATATAAAAAAAAATGATTCTTTGTTTTGCTATGATGATTTTTAGCCAAACCAAAACTGATTTTTTATTTGATGTATACTCTATTAGAAATTTTAGATTATTATTGAGAAAATAGTCTGCTACAGTAGAAACATGGAAATTGATGCTGAATAAAATTCACCTATGAATGAAGAAACATGGTTATGTTGGTCGTTGAAGTATAGATCTAACTCGTGTATGTAATTTTCTAGAATTTAAAATTCGAAATAAGTCTGTATACCATCTAATATAAATAACAGTAAAATAAAGAAACAAGCTCGGTTATGAGACTCCAAATCACGTTTCTAAAAAAAACAACACCAAACACCAAAATTAGAAACGAGTTTTCAAAAATGTAGATTTTAATTGAGGCTGAGAAAGCAAAATTAAGAATTCAATCGAAGCACATTATATACAAATACAGTTGTAATCATAGTTGCTCTGTAAAAATATTTTTTACTTCTATATTTATTTTTTACCTCAATATTTGTTTTTAATTATTTTTACCTCTATATTTTTTTGTGCGTAACAGAAATTGAATAGAAACCAATTGTCGATTTGACCCAAAAGATATGAAGTTTGTTGAAGTAGGAAAGCCAGTTTTATCACATATATCTGTCCACCACATACTGCAATCTGAAAATTTTTTTCCATTTGCGTTTAGCTGATCTGGTTCAATTACTAAAGGTAAATTATCAGATACTAAATATAATCATTTACAAAAAGCAATCATTAGTAGTGTTAAGAGTTACTAAAATATCATAAGTAATTTTAAGTGATAGAATCTTAAAGCAATAAAGTAGGACATAATAATTACTTAAAACAATAGATTAAGACAAAATAACCACTTAAACCAATAGAGTTAGACATAATAATCACTTAAACCAATAGAGTAAGACATAATAATCATTTAAAGTGGAAGTTAACCAAAAATTAAAAAAAGCTCATTTTTTTGAAAAAATTAAAGTTTAACAATCCTTATAAAATAGTTAAAAATATATATCAGGCATTGAACTCTTTAGTGAATAGTTTGCATAAAAATTTTAAAAAAATTATAGACTATTTTTAGTACTGTTGCCATGGAAATGAAAACAATAAAATGACTTTAAGGTTATTTTAATAAAAAACGTTAAATTTTGAAATTTTTTTTAACAAGAATGACAACCACATAAAATAGATTGATTTGAACGATGGATTTTTTTCCATGACAACTGTTGCTATGGGAACAAAGAAAAAACTGTTTTTTATAGTTACGGGACCAAGGAGTCGACAAATTCTAAAATGCTTCGTTCAAATAAATATATTTAACTTTTAAAATAATCTGAAAAAATTTTAACATGTTCTGATGAGAATAAATCAAGATATCATTTCTTAAAGGTGAAAATCAAAAACAGAGAAATTCAATTTGCAAACTTTAAATATTAATTTTACACTTTAAAAAAAGGTTTTATCAGATTGTATGCAAGTTACACAATAAAATGTACAAACCATTTATATCAAATTTAAATAATGATAATCCTACATTTATATCAAATTTAAATATTTGTTAATCCTACAAGTCAGTTTTTGATCCAAAAACTCCAATTTTAATCCAACAACTTTGATTCAGACTGGAATCATCTACAAATGTAATTGAAATTCCTGTATTTCCAACATTTATTTTTTTATTAATCATACTCTCTGACTCTGGATAAATGCTAAATCCACCTGAGGAATATGAAGGCTTTGTATCAAATTTTCTTTTTCGATTTTGTCGTAACTGCTGGCAATGATTAAGTAAACTATTTCTGGATTTTAAAACAGATATTTTCAAGCGAAAAAGGTTTTTTTTTCTAAACCTGCATTTGTTTTAGCTCCAACTTGATTAACCCCCATTGATGTAAGAATACTAATCAACCTATGCGGTAGTGGTGTAGTGGTAGAGCGCTCGCTTCATAAACGAGTGGTTCCGAGTTCGATCCCCACCACGCCCCTGGTAGTACCGCGCTCAACTCGTTTCTCCGCGCAGCAGCCTTGTTCGTCAAGGTTCGTGTTTCGGAGTTATAGAGTTGAGAGAGGGTTATAGCCACAAATAAGTAGCCTCCTCGTATGTAGTGGCTTTTCGGTCTTGAGGAGGTGAATTAAAATAAAATAAAAAAAAAAAAAAAAAAAAACCTTGCTGTTCCAGAATTCTATTGAATAATAGCTAAGGTAACGCCAACAGTCAACTTTTATTTGGGACCTTAATCCTAATTTACAATATTGACATTATGGTTGCTAAGGGCGTTGCTAAGATGAATAAATTGCTAAATTAATGGAAAAAATGTATAAAAAATATACAAAAGTATATATTTTTGGAAAATACAGAAATTATTCTTTAAAAATATATATTAAAAAAAAATACAAATTTTTCAAAAATTTTGGTTAACTACCACCTTAAACCAATAGAGTAAGACTGGGTAAAACAAGAAGATATAAATAAATCAGTTATTTCAATGTTAATCTTTTAGTCCACTCTAGAAACCTTTGATAACAAACAAAAGCAAAAGTTGGTAATTTCATCGGAAAAAAAGAGATTACGAGATTTAAAGGATTTAATTGTGCATCTTGAACCTTTGTGCAACCTTTGGAGAAATAAAAGCTAAACACGCAAAGAACTTGCTGCTATTTCAACTGAGGGTTCATCTTTGGGCAACAATATGTTTTTTTAAATATTTTTTTTTTCTTTTATCTTTGCAAAAAAACCATATGAATATTTGATTGGCACATTAGTTACTCTATGTGCCAAGCACAATCCACTATCCCATCGTCGCAAGGTTTTATCTCTTTTACTTTTTTACAAGTTCTATCATGGTTACTGTTAAAACGGGCTATCATCCCTTGTGTTATCTACCTAAACTCGTTTTCCTTTGACTTCTCATTTAGCAAAGTTGAATCCATTTCACTGTATCTCTTTCTTCATATTTCAGGAAAAAATAAAGAAATAAATTTTCATTTTTCTAGCATTTTCCTTAGCACATCGAAGCTTTGAACTCCCAACTATCTTTATGTTTTCCTGATTAATACAACCTAAAACTTTTCATGTCTTCTGTCAATCGGTTTCTTGTTTTTAAACAATGTTTTTTTTTTCTAGTAAATGCCACTTTGGATGTAATTGGTTGCAACATTGGTGGGAGTTAATAAACATAAAATAAAGTAAATAATGAAAAAAAAAGTGTTTTCAAAAAGAGTCTAAAAATGAAGTCTTTGCATTGTAAACATAGCCTGACAAAAAAAAACATTAACGAGGTCCTACTGAAATAGGAATCTAAAGGAACTTTAATAGACAATTTCACTAAGGAATGGAATCTAGATATGAAGTATTTTTATTTTCATTAGGGAAGTATTTTCACTAGGGAAGTGCAATCTAGATATGAAGTATTTTTATTTCAGCAATGATAAGTATTACCATTTTTATATAAATAAAGATGTAAATGTTATAAAATATACTCACAGCTTTTAGGATCATATCTATCGTAATTTAACACATATTTGTCATTACTTGAGCCAACAATTACATTATAATACATCGTACTTAACTTTATATCTTCACTTACAAAGTAATCAACTCTCATGTCTGTATAAAAAACGCTTGTAATTTGATTCAGTTTTTTTAAACCAATCCATTGTTGATTAATTAAACCAAAACCATCTTCATAAGCCTTAAACGTCTTATCCCAAAATGTTGGTTCCCAACTTGCGAATCGTGTCATTATTGGAATCCATACATTTTTATAAAGTTGAACAACTTAAATAAAAAAAAAATTAATCGTGTACTTTCCTATATTATACTTATAACTTTCCAATTAGTAGTAGTAGTAGTAGTAGTAGTAGTAGTAGTAGTAGTAATCTCTACGAGCCCTTATGTTACAAAACGCGTGCCCTTGGCGTTACTTTTGAGCCCTTATGTTACTCAAAGTGCCCTTATGTTACGCTGAAGCCCTTATGTTACTTTTTAGCCCTTATGTTACCGCAAATCGGTAGCGTAAGGGCAAAAATAGCCCTGGTACTACATTAAAAGGTAGCATAAGGGCACTTACCTTAAAACTCAAACAAATGTGTAAACGAGCAAATTTAAATATGGTAGAGTTTCGCTTGTAGTGATCGATATTGCTTTATCGTGTATGTTTTTATAGAAATAATTGTAATTATGTTTAATTGTTTAGAAGTTTTTTGTATAAGTTTTTAATCATTCGAAAGAAGGATCTACTGTTAATATTGTCAGTATTGAAGCAAAAAGTTTTTTTTTATTTTATTTTTTACAGACTTGTTCTTCAGTTGAACCATGTTTAAAAAAAGTTTTAGAGTTGATGAATAAAGTTAAATGAAGAAACAGAAGCTAAATCAGCACACATCAATATTGGTCTAAATGAATAACAAAAAGTCTTATCACCATCAAAATGACAATCCAAAGTTGAAAAAAGTTGGATTGCTTCACAACCAGGAGCAGTATGTAACATGACTTTAAATGAGTTTGCAATAGCTTTAGAAAATAATGATAGTTTTGTTGTGAGTGCGAGAAAGCACATTAAATTCTTAAAGAAATGTGTAATATTATTATATATTACCAATATGTTGTACTAGTAATATGAAATATATTGCTAATATTTTATTTCACATTTTACTTGTAATATGAAATATATTTTTAACAATATAAATTAAGATATAAAATAAGAGTCATGATTTTTTCATTTAATTGTAAGTTTTCACTTGCGTTTCAGCATGAAGTTACAAAATTTAAATTTTAGATGTTAAGTCATCTTTTTCATCAATTTAATCTTTAGTTGAATGTTAGTGATCATATTTTTAAAATTTATTACATATAATGTTATTAAATCAGTTATTTAATAATAATAACTGTTATTATAGTTTTTTACATTATTATAAGTGTCTTACTATCCATTGAGAGTTAATGTGATCCTTTTTAAGCATTAATTTGTTTGTATATCATAAACATGCAAGTTTTGCATAAATTTTATGCATTGTAAAGTAAATATGATTCTTTCTAATAAGTATTAATTTTCAAAAGGTTTTAAATATTAAAACAATGGAAGAAAATGTTTTGATACTGTGTGTGCTATGTAAAAGACCAATAGATAATTGTTGTAAAAGTCAATTGTGGGAAAACGATGCTTACAAAATTTGCAAGGCTTGCGCAGGTTTTTTTTCATTGTTTTAATTTATTCAAGTTTTTTATGTTTATTTATTACTTAAAAAAGTTACTAAAATACTTAAAAACTTATTCATTATGTATAGATTCATCGTGTGGTATTTCCTACAATGAGGGCGTTATATTAATTGAAAAAGGTTTGTTTTTACTCAACTGACACATTGCTTGTGAGTTGTGAGGTCTTAATTTATTTTACAACTTATAATAAAATTTTTAATATAACATGCTATATAACATAATATACATTTTTAACATAATATACTAAATTATAACCTGTATGCAGCTCTTTAAAATAAATAAAATAAGCTCAATAAATTCCTAATTTTTATTTATTTCATTAAGCTTTCCAAAATTTTACACAAAAATCAATAGAAGAAGTTATATCTTCATCATTGTTGATGTCTATTTCTTCTGGTCAAGTATGTGTACTTTATAAATATTATTGTGTAAATAAATTTTCAAATTTAGATTTTACTAATCAAGTATTTTTGTGTTGTGTTTTGGAGAGTGTGGTAATAAATTTATTATTTATTATTTTTGTTTTGCAGCTCTATAGTTACAGACACAATATATATAAAGCTAGTGGAAAAGCAAAAAGTAAACATTGATTAAAATTTATATATATTATTTAAAATTTATTACAATAACACTTTATATTAAGATAAAAATTAATAGATTATAAAAGAGTCATAAGACTAATTTTGATTTGTATTTTATAGGAAACCTTGAAGACGAAGACCTAATGTATCTTTTATTGGAAGATAAAAAAAATTATTTTTTTTGTGCTCTTTCAAAATCATTTAATAATCATACGGTATGAAATATAAAGTTATTATTAAGTAAATAAATATATAAATAATTTAAATATACTAGAGGCTATTCTAGGAAAAAAATTTATGCAGTGTGACCCTCTGTCCTGGCAAAATTTAGTGTAAATATTGCTGAATGTAGGTGTTTTTTTTTGGCAAAAAAGCCAATTTGCCATAAAAAAGTTCTCAGTTTTGAATTTCTGCGCCACCCAAATAAGGTCAGTGCTGTCAAAAACGATCTAGAATAGCCTATGTTTTCATATATATACTGGTAGGATCAAGAGATGGCAAAAACAATTCTCTCCTGAAATTTTTTTTTAACTTAAATTTTTTTTTCATTCAAATTATATTTTTGAATTTAGCCTCTTTAGTTTTTGTTTTTATACCCCCTCCCCTTATCAACATACACATATATATTTGACACATTCATACACATAGATTAAAAAAATCAGTGTTATATAATTATATATAAAAAAGGTTACATTTTTTATTTAGTCTAATGATTATACTTTTAAAGTATTGCTTCCTGAAGCAATACTGTATCTTTTTGCAAAGGTGCAAAGAATTTCAAGAATCAAAGTATGTTTTTAAATAAATTGTAAAATATTTATTTTATATATTCTCATTTGCAATTTAAAAATTTTTTTGTTAACAGTTGTTTGTTAATGTGTTCTTATATGATTTTTAATATTAATATTTTGGTTTGCAATTTAATATAAATTATTGCTCGTTTTAATATAAACTTGCTAATTTACAAATTCCTGCCCAACCACTAATTAGTTGATTTACGTAAGCAAAACCTGCCCAACCCCTACTTAGTTGATTTAAGTAAGCAAACTAAATCAATAACATGTAAACATATAAAATTTATTATACATTTATGAATCTATTTTGTTATAGGCTGAAGTATTGTTAAGTTCATATTCTTTGCAAAGGTATGCATTTTTTTTTTTTTTAAGATTTAGATGCCCAAAGAAGTCCTTACAGTCTTATCACAGAGCACTGCGGAAAAGCATTTAATAGGAAGTTCACGCCTCTTTCCCAACCAATGTTGCAAAACTTGCCCAGAGGTGGGGTTTGAACCACGGATCTTAAGTCTCTGAGACAAGTGCGCTACCACTGCGCCACGGCTGTTGTAATTTTTCATTTTATTTGTATAAACATTTAAGTTTATATTTATTTTAACATTTTAGCATTTTTGACCTTAGAGTTTTATTTTACAATTTTGTATTTTTATTTTATTTTTGCTAGTATTGCATAAATTAGGTGAATTTGAACAGGCAGAATTTGTACTGCAATGCTGTTCAACCTTCTAAGCGCACAAATTGGTTTAGGGCTAAAGATAGTTGATATTTAGAATAAAAATAAATTTTTTAGTTTTTTATGTGTATTTTGATTACTTTATTTATTTATTTATTTTAATTTATTTCGCTATAAATATTGTTGTCCTTATTTCAGGAATAATGAACTGTTAAATAAAATCTCAGATGAAGATAATGATTTTATTTTGGGTAATAAATTATATTGTTTGTCAAGTTATGAAGATATTTTTACAAAATCTTATAAAGCTTTCTCAAAGTTAATTCAAGGTTTTGGTAATCAGTTAAAGAAGACTTAATAATATTTGTAATAAAAAATTATTATTGTAAACTATTATTATCCTTTTTTAATAATAGTATAAATATTATTATTTTACTTTAAAAACAAATATTACATTGGAAAAAGAAAAGGTATGCATTCATTTTATTCTCAATTATGTAATTACACTTAAAAAAGGTAGTATATAAATATATCATTGAATACCATTCCATGTTTTTAATAAGTAATCAATGGCTAATGATTGCCATTTAGGCATTAAACTTAAAGTACAGTAGAAAAAGTTGTTTTTTCTTCATTATCATATATATATATATATATATATATATATATATATATATATATATATATATATATATATATATATATATATATATATATATATATATATATATATATATAATACATAAATAATGCACCTGCCCTTATTCTCTTTCTTAATCATTTTAATTATCTCCCTTATTATGTAGTATAACAAATCAACCAGCAATTGGAATTGACAAGGGTACTGTTATTGATACAACCAAGGTTAGCCTTAATTTCCCTTTTTTAATATTGTGTTTAAAATAAAATTGATTTAAAGAAATAAAAAAAATTTACAGACTTGTTCTTCAGTTGTGCCTTTGTTTAAAAAAGTTTTAAAGTCGAGGAATAAAGTAAAGTGCCCTGTTTGTGGAAAGTAAGTTTCAAAATTAAAGTTTTTTATGTAAATTTTTTTATTGATATAATTTTTAACAGATTCATTAGGTTTTTTTTTTTTTTTTTTAAAAGATTTATATTCAACTTAAAACGACACTTAATAACCAAACACAAATGGGATGAAGTTAAGGCAAAATCTGCTCGCCTTAATTTTGGGCTTAACGCAAAAAGGAAAGTTTTAACCACTACCAAAAGAAAAGCAAAGAGCAAAATTTATAAAAGAAAAATTTGTCCTATGCTCCATTGCACAAAAGAGTTACTTAGACTCGGAAATCATCTGAGACAGTTCCACAAATTGTCTAATTTTGAGACAAAAAAATATATATCTAAAAGTGTAAGTGTTCTTGAAAATTTTGAAAGTGAATCTGATGAGAAATCAAACTCCTCAAGTGACTTTAGCGATAACCCAAGTCTTGAGTGTCATTTTGATAAAGAAATTTTTGTTCAAGGTGAAAATTTTTTAGAAGTAAATTCAAGCAGTGATGAAGACTGGTTAGCTTCAGAATATGTTCAATCTAGATTTTTCAGGCTTGGTCGGGAAGCGGGAGCGATCGCACTCGAATACTGACCACGGAAATTATATTTAGTTGCGAAAAACTGGCCAGCCGTTTTGAGAACATTTAAGTTAATGTACGAAACAAAAAATTTTTGTTTTACGGACATACATGGAAACATAATAAACTTGAATGTTCCAAAACATCTTTTTGCGAAAGAATAAAAAGAATATTCGCGAACACTAAAAACCCGCCAAGTTAACGAAGAAACTAATTCTATTGGTTCAAAAAATACGCTGACTTAGCGAAATAAAGTTCTAGAGTATTCTGTTGAAATGTTTTAGAAACGATTTGTGACGTTTTGAGATTTCTAGCATAAATATATTATTTGTTTACGAAAATAAAAAATTTAAATATATATTAAATTGTCAAAATGTTAAAAGTTTATAATAAATTATAGATTTTATTAGTATATTCTTATTTTTTATTTTAAAAGTATGTATTCCTTATGTGAATTTAATTTTGTTTATCTGTCTTTTATCGTAATGTATCCTTTAAAGCAATTTTTACGATTTAAACAAAGACTTACAAAAATAATTGCGTTTTCAATGAAGTTATAACTGTTATAGTTAATAAAACTAATAACGTAACAAACATATAAGAAGTTTCTAGTTACTAAACAGAAACAACGCGTACAAAGTAACTCGCAGATAAACAAGCACCGCGCCTAAGGTTACGACAGAACACAAATATATATAGAAAATAATTAGATGAAAAAAAAAAGTTACTAGATATTGGTTTACTAACTCTAATTATTTTCGTTTTAGTTGCCATTCTAAAAACTCATTGTGTTTTTTTCTATTAAATAGTAATTAAAATTAAAAAGCCCACTCACTAAACATCACCAGCGATATTG